ATTAAATTTTTTTAAATAAAAAAAAATCTACTTCAGTTACTTCATTTTTTAAAATAACACAAATTAAACAAACAAAGAAAACTTAAAATGTACTATAGTAATAATACTATGGAACTGTTAAATTTAAAAAAAAGAGTATTTAATAATAATTATTATTATTTTATTTTACAGAACAGCAGTAAAATTATAAAACTAATATTTATGGCTGGATATCTTCTTCAGGGCGAAAAAGGAAAATAAAAGCTGAAACATTTTCACGGAACCTTGCAAAAGCAGCCTGTTACAATGGTGAGGGAAAAGCTCCGTATATTGCGTGTAATCACATCCATAGTTTATGATCACAACAACAACAACGTTTGTCAGGCATCGAGTAAATAATGACAGAATTGTCATTTTTTTGGGGTAGAATTAATTAAGACTGCACAGCCATACACCCAGAAAGACATCCAGCAAGCATTTCAACCAAACATTCTCTTTATTTCACTTTAAGGGATTATAGAAATGCTTCGAGAAGTGCAAATTGGTCAATATTCCAGATTTTTCCTAATGATATTAATAATTATTATAACAATATTAATAATAATATATTTCTTTATGTAATGTCTATACTTGTTGCAGTCAGGATGAAATATTACACAGGCTCAACCTCATGTCACCGACCAACTTGGACACCAGTCACCCTCCGACCCGTTTCTCCAGGCCCATGTCCCATATCCTAGTCATTTTTCTGAGTTCTTCCGGGGCCGTCGGAAACTAGACATATTTTCTAGTGCATAGATACGCCGCGAGACCTCCTCGATCCCAGCAGCGTCGAACTCTCCCAAAACCTGTTCGTCACACTCAACCGCAACCGCGTGCTCCACGGGGATACACGGGAAATCATCCAGTCTGGCGCCACCTCCCAATCCCAACCCAAATCCTAGTCCCAATCCCAGCCCTGTGGCTTCAGTGCCCATAATTTCCTCCGCCTGCTCCACGGAGCAGCACAGTTCAGCTGCGCCCGCAACACCCAAACCTATACCCTCGCTGGGCACGACCGAGCCGTTCATGGCTCCTGAGTGCTGAGGGACAGAGTCAGACGGTAATGTACTGGCTATGTCCGTAGGTATTTCCAGAGGCTTTTCCGTATGTGCCTGGGACACAGTCTCTCCATCCCCATGTGTATCCACAGTCTTACCTTCTTCAATGCTCGCAATCTCTGTGGACGGCACTGATGGGACTTCCGGAGTGGTCATGGGATCAGGCTCAGTCATGGCTGTGTTGCAACTAGGTGGAGGGGTTTGGCATTTCTGTTTATCCGCATCTGAGCTGGCCCACTTCTGGATGTCCCGTTCAGGGGAGCTGGAAAGGGTCGGAAAACCCACTTCGGATGCGGTGGAAACGCTGAGATGAGACTTCAGTGGGACGGGGATGGACATGGAGACATGGTGCCTGTCACTGAGAGAGAAAAACAAAAACAGAGGCACATGGTTATGATTTTCAATCACCTTCAACTTGCTTCAGAATCGAGAGAGCAAGAAGTCGAGAGATGGGAAAGAAATTCAAGAGTGTGAAGATGCTGATGTCAGTGGAGCTCTTTGTTGCTGATGGATCATCTCATAATTCATTTACACACATCGAGAGCCTGGGAGAGCTCAGCCAGAGCCTCTGATCCTCAACCACACACACACTCAAACAAATACACTCGCACCCCCCTAAAACACACACAGCTGTTGGACTACATACATCATCTGAAATATGACATCTAGAAAGTAAAACAACTGTATAGGATTCGTCATCCTTCACGAGGAGCTTTCACGGAGAGCTGAAGCGAGCTGCAAACTTATAAAAGTAGCACCATGTACATGCAAAAACAGTCAGGTTATCTTACATTAAGAAAAAGTACAGGAAGTCAAACTCTGTTAAATGTTCAGTTCAAAATTTTGAGATTAATATATATTTTTTTGAAAGATATTAATACTTTACTTTTATCTAGGATGCAATAAATTGATCAAAATTGACATGCAATTGAAAAAAATACCAAATAAATGCTGTTCTTTTGAACTAAAAAAATAATAATTACCACATTTTCCATGTAGATATTAAGTAGCACAACTGTTTTCAACATTAATAATATAAAATGTTTCTTGAGGACCAAATCGGCATATTAGAATAATTGCTGAAGGATCATGTGGCACTGAAGACTGGAGTAATGTCTGCTGAAAATTCTGCCTTGCATCACAGAAATAAATTACATATTAAAATATATTAAATTAGAAAACAGATATTTTAAATTGTAATAATATTTCACAATATACTGATTTTCCTAAACATTTGATCAAATAAATGCAGCCTTGGTGAGTAAACGGTCTTTTAAAAAATGATAATGAAAATCTGTACCTTCAGAAAACAAAGTCAACGTCAATATACCTTTAAAAGTATTTAACTTAACTTTCCATTTCCATGTGAGAAATAAACTGGAACAAATATCGGCCACAATTTTAAACATCTTTTTTTACTCATCATTTGACTGGACTGCAAAAAGTCATGTTATTTTTATGCAAAACTGGATTTAAAATGTTTAAAAAAAAAGCTTCATTTCCGAGATGATAACTGGATGCCACTCGTTGAAACATACTGTAATGAGATATTGTGACAACAATATAGCATACTACTGTCGAAAATGTTTATGGTTGTATAGTGTGTCCTTTAAATTGATTTTTTTTTATAGTAAACTGTATACAGAGTATACAATGTAAGCTATGGTCCATCCATATGTTTTTGTGTCTTCAATACGGCAGTGAGGATATTCACTCAAAGTCGTACAGTATGTGTGGTAGAGAGATATGCGGTTTAATTCCTGTGTGTCTGGACAGGCTGCATTGCTACATAGCAGCTTTAATGCTGTCCGACCGCAGTGATGAATTTCATTACCAAGAATAAGCAAAGAAACATGCTCCCAAATTCCTCATCAGTTCACTGAAAGCAAACATCTAATGGTTGGCCATAGCGTGGCGTGTACTGTATATTCGATTTCCCAAATGATTCTTCTTGCACTTAGACCGTTCGGCACGTAATTAGATCCAGTTTTCAGATGTGAAATTGGGAGAGACGTTCCCAATGAAATTTTACTGAGAGCAAAACCATAACATTTCAAAACAGCAGTCAGATGTAATTGCAAAGCATTATGGCTGCGTTCAAAATCATGTTGCTACGGTTGACTAATGACGACCTCTGATTGTAGAAATGAGGCCTTGAACTCCCATCTCTCAGACTAATATCATTTATTGTACTGTATGATTACGGATAATAAAAAAAATGGATATATTACAATGTTATCAGCCCTCAAAAGTCTAACGGCCACAAACACCAACTTATGCATGTGTTATGAAAACATATGGACTCCATCTAGCCAAGTGTTTAGACGTCATATCCCTAGCAGGGAAAAATAAAGCATTTTTTGTTTGGAACAGGAGGCTATTTGTTACACTGTGCTTCCCCTTATAAATGAGTTCCTCTAAACATGTGTCAGACCGCAACCCTTAATCAAGAGCAAGTGGCCGGTGTGTGCTGGTAGATGGCGCGGGGCTCGAGCATGCATGTGCGACGGAGTCCAGAGAGAAGAAGAGGGGGCAATTTGCGCTCAAGCATGCCAGACTGATCTCCCAGAACCGTCATAATATTTTTTATGCAGCATATTTTCTCTGGTGGATTTAAACTTGGCTCTTAACATGGGCCAATTAGGCTGTCCCCACCCCAGACAGACACCGCAGAGCATTGGCAGGGAGAGGGAACGTGTCTCGGGGCGTCCTGTGTGGGGATGGGTGGTGGTCCGGGAGCGAACCGGAGGGGCTGCAGAAGAATAACGGCGGCAGAGGTGAGTATTCTTGTGAAACGGAGTCTGGAACAAGAAATAGATTCAAACTACCCGGGAGGAATTCGGGAGACCACAAATTCTGCACGGTTGAGCGAAAAGCAAAAATAAATGCAGGATGACAGTAAAGATAGTTTGAATGATGTTTGCTTAAGACCTTACACCTCTCCTACGGACATGGATATACTTAATTATATTAACAGCCCTGAAAATATGTTTGCATAATGTCATACTAACAAATACATGCGGTCATATATATTTATAATCATTAAATATAAATATATTAATAAATACAAAACAATTAAATTAATAAAAAATTATAATTACAAAAATTATATTATTATAGAATAATATATAATTGTCGATTATTATACTTGGCAATTATGTAATTATAATAATATTATTTACAATTGTAAATATTTATTTCCCTTGATATTGTAATCAAAATGACGAATTACAATTAATAGAATTTACATTAAAATACTTTGCAACATTTGCAAGTTATACCATTTACGCTGCAAGTAAGCTCAGCATGCATTCCTTCGTTCATTTGAGGATATGACTAGGAAAATGAAATATGACATTTTCGGTTGTTGTTTTTAGATCCAAGAAACTGAGAGAAGCATCTTTTTCAGATTATAGAAGGGCTGGCCTGCATTCGCATAAATGCCTGTGCGCTAATTTACCTATTGACATAAAAATGCATTGTTTATGGGGGTGACAAATTGTTTCCTGTATTCCCGTTCTGGACATGCACCAGTAATAATGCTTCAAAGCCTCACACTGTTTACGTCCCACTGACAACCTTCATAAAAATGTACAATGACAGCAATGATCACACATGTGGGACTGTTTCCGGCACCTAAGAATGAGGCTTCATGGCAACCAGGGTCTGCTTTGGGTTCTGTAATCTGAATGTTTTTTTGGTGGGATGGCTGTGTGATTGTAAAGAATAGAGGAGCATTGGAGGAACACTGATGGAATTTTGGAGGAACGTTCCACCAGATGTGAGTACAAACACCTATCAGTATGTTATCCACAGAGACAGCTTCATCCCACTGTGCAAATCTGAGTTCTGAGAGTTCCTAGCTCTGATTCAATACATGTAAAATATATGTGTGTGTACATTGTATAGAATTTATGCTGCATTTGAGACACCTTTGTTTCTCTGTGTTTACAGTTTTTTAAGAAAACAACCAAGAATGGCTTACTTATAGTTGTCTTTGCACATTAAACTGGCATAAGAGACGGTACTTTAACATCGAAAGGCCCTTTATTTCTAAGGATTAAGGGATTACTATATGGGTGGACATCCAAAAACACTGTTTGTTATGAATCAGGCCTTCCTTCAAACTATTTGACAGCCATTTATATACTGGATTAGCAAAGGCTTGTTGTGAAGACGTATAATAAAATAGTTGCCCGATGAATCACGTTCCCGAAGAGATGGAAAAGAATCCACCTGAATCTTTCCAAATATGGTGCTAAGTTACAGAACTTACTGTAGGTGGGTGGAGCTTGGGAATTTGAGCCAGGGCTATAGGCTAAATTGGGTTTAGATTTAAATAAAACTGATGAAAAAACGAGAAATGTTGAAGTAAAAGATAAAAAGATGAAGATTTATGGTTTGTTAGTGTTGCACTTTCACCGGGGGTTCCAAGGGATTCTTCAGAACTTCCAACCCCACCCTAGAGTTTCCATCCTGGGGTGTTGAGTCTCATCAGCCCCTCCACTTCCACGTCTTTACCCGCTCTCAAGAGCTCCACAGTGGGGCTGCAGGACCTCTAAAACGCTGCCAGAGTCCTGTGCCATAAATAAGAGAATGTTTCGCATATTCGGTTTGAACTCGGCAGGACACATCATTAACAGAGCGGCACCATGTCTTGCACCCCCTGTCTGCCTTTCACCATCTTCACTCTCTGTTACTTCTTAGACTCCATCCACTGCTCTAAACTGTGACTTTTTCTCTCATCATTTTGGTCTTCTTCCACATTTGGCGTCTCAGATTGTTCCCACTCTAACTGGACTGACATGCAGAGGAAACCGCCAATGCATGAGAGTGATTATAGCTCCAGATGAAGGCAGTGAAGACTGAATCTAACTACCAATCAGTGTTTGAATGAGAAAAAGCAACAGGATGGTGAAAGGCTCAGAGATGTGAGATAAGCAGATTGAGTTTGTTCGACAGGACTCTGCCATGTTAACATTTTAATCACTACTAAATGATAGGGCACAGTCTGCATACAATCTGCACCCACTGAAAGCGTAACAGATTTGAAACTTCTTTCAAAGTTCTACATTTTCCCTCAAAATCAGTGCAGAAAATGCCAACTCCACAGTTTCTGCATGGGCTTTCTAAAATACTTTAGCAAACAAAAATGAGACTCTGAGGGACAGAAGTACAGTCCGGTCAATTTGTTGTACTCGTGCTGTTTTCCATTCAAGTTGTGTTTGGGATATTCCTGCTTGCTTTATCAGATTTCTAACCATTATGGCGCAGAAGGTGGTGTAAAAGGAGGCAAATCAGCATTGTTAACATCAGACGTTTCCCAGTAACCAAACTGTAGGTCTATCAAAAGTGCATACTTTACAGTTTTTTAAATTCTGTCTGCAAAATTGTAAGAACTGAGTAATTGATGCATTTTATTTTATTTTTATCATTAACTCTGCAAAATTTGTTTCCTAGTTGGAAAAATTCAAATGGAATTTAACAACATTTTTCCAAATACGAAGTTGGAAATTCCAACATTCCGATTTGGAATGCAGCATCAAGGTCCTAGACAACATTTTCTTAGGCCAGTAGGCTAAAAGATTGACACAGAGATACAAAACAGTACAACACCTTGAACCTTGTCACTGTGAACTTTTTTTTTTCCTCTCACAACCCAATCTGATCAAAATAAATATGCAGAAAAAGGTTGGTAGTCTCTGGGATAACCAATAATGTTGTAATGGAAATGATCATGGGTCAGTGTTATTGTGTATTCCTGTGTATTCCTGAAAGAATTCTGAAAAACTAGGAACCAGGTAGTTTTCACATGAAAAAAGATCTTTACTTTATCGTCGAGTCTGTAAATCGAGCTGAAACGCATGCTGAGTCCAGCCAACGGTTCTGCTAAACAATCAAATATTAATAACCCCTGTTCAGAAATTTGGCTGCAAGACGTGCAAAACTCCTGAACACACACACAGAGGGTGAAACTGCCAACTTTTATAACTAATTTGAACAGATCAAACTATTTCATTAAGCCAGTCTCAAAAACACTGCCATCTCCATTTCCCATATAAACATCCATTGAAATTGAAGAAGAAGAAGGGCAAAATAAATCTCAATTTTTTTCTCCAACATATGCTCCTATGAATCTGCAGAATGGCAGCAGAAGTTCCCATGGTAAACCTGTGCAGTGTTCCTACTTAACCATTTCCATTTCTTCATGCGCTTTCTCTGGTATTCCCGTCCCTTTCTTTTTCCCTCTGAGGAACTCCTGCAGCTGCCCTGATGCAGATTTTTATGCACCGATAATTCACATCTCTGGCCCCTGCCCTGGAAACATTATCTAAACTGAGAGGAGAGGGAGTGTAGGAGAGGAAGTGGATGCAAGGGTAATAAAAGCAGTCTGAAACAAACGGGAAATAAAAGAATCCATTTACTCTATATTTCACATTTCAGCTCTGGATCCAGAGAGTTGCTTCCTGCGCTGGAGAACGAGTCTAGACCGCCTGTTTGACTCGCTCAGGAGTCAACGCTAGCAGACACCCACTCTGTATAAAGTAACTTGACTCTTGGAGGGTCTCAATGTGCTGTAAGTTATCGTTTACGGCTGTGGAACTGTATGACGAAGATGTCGGAAGGAATGTTCTGCAGTTTTGTGTTTATGTATACGGTCCCCCTCTCCCCAGGGGAGGCGGAAACTGCTCTTTCACGGTTCTAAGTGTATGGTAGAGTCAACACCACCGCCCTCCGGGTCCGTTTAGCCATGCAGCGCAACCGCCGGTTCGCCGGACTTCCACTTCCTCCTCTACTTCCTGCCACTCTGTACGGTTCAAGAGGTCAAAAGGTCATACTTTCATCTGTTCCATCTTAAGCATTTCCACAATCCATTAAACATTACTGGGGGGACGCTGAAGAGTTTTACTTACCCTGGCCTCCTTCCTTTCAAAACACAGATTATTAAATTAACATTCAGATAGATGTTTGCCTCGCTGAACCAAGAAAAAGCTGGAAAGATCAAAAGGAGGCTTTCTTTAACAGTATGTTTTTGACTGCCATTGGTTTCCAAAGGAATACAATTGGGAATTTTTACCATCACTGATGTAAAAGTGATAATTTTGTTTCTTTCAAAAGTTGGCTAGGTTAATATAGTGGTTTATCATTGTGCATATCAACAGACACTGGATTTTGTAAGCTACTCTAAACTAATGCTACAATGATGTAACTGTGTGAGAATATAATTGTAATGTAAAAATATAATTTCTTGCTAAACATTAATAAAAACAAGATTTTTACATTTTTTGAAAATAAATATCAATATAACTAATATTTTTCATTTTCTTAGGAAAATATGACTATACACTATATTTCTTGTGATGTTCTGTGTAGTTGTTAGGTGGTTACTGCTTGGCCCAAGTTAAAAGAGCCCACTTTATGCACTTTGGTCCTTGGATATGACTTGCGTCCCTCGTTCAGATTAGATTATTTTTTTGCCCATTTTATCACCCACCACAAAAAAAATTAATAATAAAATAAAAATGAGTCTGATCACAATTTGAGGTAACATTCATGTCCATTCCTTAAGCAATAAGAATGTCAAAACTCACCATCTTACAAGTAGTCCATGCTCTAGGAAGTTCTTCAGGTTGGGTAAAGTCTGACGTAGATCTGGGGTAGAGAGCCCATGCTGGTACCTCAACTGTAGAACGAAAAACACAGAGGAAATGTGTTTGTTACAACCATCCATCACCATCACATGACTGAACGATGAGTATACAATCACTACATGGCACCACCTGGGCATCGTGCCACCAGCTAGTGCAGCAGGTTAATTCATTATCCCACAGGTGCGCGCGCGCACACACACACACAAATGTTTTCCATCTGCATATGTTTAAGTTATTTAGTCTGCTTGCTGCAGAACCACTGACAGGAGACATTAACCAGCTCCTGGTTCCCGTAAGTTTCAAATTAATATTTAATAAAGATGGAAAAAAAAAGAAAAAAGCTTTTCTTCAAAAAGTGAAATCAGTCCTAAAGCTTTTAAGGGACATTCACATCCTTCCCAGAACCAATCGAGACTGTCATGACGGACAAGACAAGTGATCAAATAAAAGAACTTAAAATAAATATTTATTTAAAAAATGTACATTAAATAATTTTAAATAATCATCAACATAAATATAAATAATATATATATATATATATATATTTATAAAATGAATAGAATAGAATAGAATAGAATTACTTATAATTATTTGTTTAATGGTCTGGTTACATGATACTAAGGCAGACCAGATATATAGAAATAAAAAGTGGAGTTATCCTCACATGACAATCTCAAACATTTATAGCCTTGTAAACCACTGGCCAAAAAAAATAAAGTATGTGCCATACCACAACACCTATTTCTACTGCTTTAGGCTCTTTTATAGGTGAAAACAAGGGGAGAGAGCTATAGATGAGATGCACTGACAGAATAGGAAAAAGAGTAATAGAAGGTGAGGTTGTGTCAAAGAAAATATGAGACTGATCTACGTGATCGAAGACCCAACAAGCTCGAACGTTTTATTTTCCCCTCTTGTACAATCGTTCAGTCTAATACATTGGCCATCAATGCTCTCTGACATGTTAACACCAACAATAATATAGCATGTGTGTATGTACAGATGGAGATGGGATGTGGGAGGGGAAAAAGACAAAGATAAGAAAAAGGAAGTGTGAGAGAAATGGCACACATCTGGAATGAATGAAAGACGGGAGGAAACACACACACACGTCTGGTTCACTATCCTTGTAGGAACTCTCCATAGGCGTAATGGTTTTATACTGTACAAACTGTATTTTCTATCGCCCTACACCTAAACCTACCCCTCACAGAAAACTTTCTGCATTTTTACAATCTCAAAAAAACTCATTCTGTATGATTTATAAGCTTTTGTACCCATGGGGACCTCAATTTAGGTCCCAACGGTGACACAAGTCCCCATGAGTTGGTGTGTATTCAGGTTTAAGTCCCCACCAGTATAGAAAAACATGTACACACACACACACACACACACACACACCCCTCTTCCCAAGAAGCAAGATTTTCTCTCTGGCCCATGTCAATCACAAAACTGTCTTCAGTGTACAATCAGAATGAGAATCAACAAAGTAACAGTTCTCTCAGAAAAACACAACGCCCCCTTTAGGCTTGGAGGTGAAATAGAACAATAACAGTCCATTTCTTTTCAAAGAAAAGCAAGTGCATGAGGTCTCAAGGGGAACAAATGTATTAAGGACACTCCATGACAAACATCTGGTTTATCTTTATAAACACCTTCTGCATATCTTTATAAAACCTGATCAATCATAATAGCACCATAATGACAGATGATCCGCATGTGATTTCAATTACAACTGATACTGCTGCCACGATGACACTCCTACAGGCCAAGAATTCAATAGGGATACGATGGGAGAGAGAAAATGAGAGATGGAAATACTGTGGAAAATGGAGTAGGTGATAACTAATGACAAAATGGAGCAAAAGCCATTTCCTTTAGGTGGTTCTCCAGTGCTCTCTAGTCACAAAAAATTCTGTTTATTTCACAATACTGTGGACACAGCTTCTTCAGCTCACCTGTAAAACTATTAAAAAAAAGTGCTGCTAATAGAGATAAGAAAAAACGAAAGACAGGATACAGGATGTTAACTTCTTGGACCCTGTTCCGACCAAAATTGGATAAGTTTTAAAGTAGAGAGTGAGATGTGTTTGGGATCACTATAAACACCTTCTGCATATCTTTATAAAACCTGATCAATCATAATAGCACCATAATGACAGATGATCCGCATGTGATTTCAATTACAACTGATACTGCTGCCACGATGACCCTCCTACAGGCCAAGAATTCAATAGGGATACGATGGGAGAGAGAAAATGAGAGATGGAAATACTGTGGAAAATGGAGTAGGTGATAACTAATGACAAAATGGAGCAAAAGCCATTTCCTTTAGGTGGTTCTCCAGTGCTCTCTAGTCACAAAAAATTCTGTTTATTTCACAATACTGTGGACACAGCTTCTTCAGCTCACCTGTAAAACTATTTAAAAAAAGTGCTGCTAATAGAGATAAGAAAAAACTAAAGACAGGATATTAAAGGGGTCATATGATGCGATTTCAAGTTTTCCTTTCTCTTTGGAGTGTTCCTAGCTGATTGTGCATAGATAAGATCCCTGAAGTTGCAAAGACTAAAGTCTCAAAACCAAAGAGATATTCTTTATCAAAGTTAAGACTCTGCCACGCCCCCCTAAAACGGCTCGTTCTAACACGCCCCCACATATCTAGGTCACTATGTGGGAATATTTGCATAATGCCGCCC